TTGCTATGGTCGGTTTCCATGGCGACCAAAATTTGCCCACCTTTGCTATGGTCAGTTTCCATAGCAACCATCCCCAGTCCCCTATTGCTATGGTCAGTTTCTGTGGGAACCATCAAGAATCCGCAGTTTCTATGGTCTGTTTCCATAGCAACCAACCCAGCCCCCCCCTGCTGCGGTCAGTTTCCACGGCAGTCATCACCCGACCCCTGTAGCTATGGTCAGTTTCCATGGCAACCATCCCCAGCCCCCCGTTGCTATGGTCAGTTTCCATGGCAGCCATCCCCAGTCCCCTATTGCTATGGTCAGTTTCTGTGGGAACCATCAAGAATCCGCAGTTTCTATGGTCTGTTTCCATAGCAACCAACCCAGCCCCCCCCTGCTGCGGTCAGTTTCCACGGCAGTCATCACCCGACCCCTGTAGCTATGGTCAGTTTCCATGGCAACCATCCCCAGCCCCCCGTTGCTATGGTCAGTTTCCATGGCAGCCATCCCCAGTCCCCTATTGCTATGGTCAGTTTCTGTGGGAACCATCAAGAATCCGCAGTTTCTATGGTCTGTTTCCATAGCAACCAACCCAGCCCCCCCCTGCTGCGGTCAGTTTCCACGGCAGTCATCACCCGACCCCTGTAGCTATGGTCAGTTTCCATGGCAACCATCCCCAGCCCCCCGTTGCTATGGTCAGTTTCCATGGCAGCCATCCCCAGTCCCCTATTGCTATGGTCACTTTCTGTGGGAACCATCAAGAATCCGCAGTTTCTATGGTCTGTTTCCATAGCAACCAACCCAGCCCCCTCTTGCTGCGGTCAGTTTCCACGGCAGTCATCACCAGACCCCTGTAGCTATGGTCAGTTTCCATGGCAACCATCCCCAGCCACCCGTTGCTATGGTCGGCTTTACGGCTACCATCCCCAATTCCCCGTTGATATGGTCAGTTTCCATGGCTACCATCACCAGCCCCCTGTTGCTATGGTCAGTTTCCATGGCAACAATCCCCAGCCCCGTGTTGCTATGGCAGTTTCCATGTCAACCATCCCCAGACGCCTGTTGCAAGGGTCGGTCTCCATGGCAAGCTCCCCAGCCCCCTGTTCATCTGGGCAGTTTCCATGATAACTATCACCAGCCCCCTGTTGATATGGTCGGTATCCATGGCAGCCATCCCCAGACCCATGTTGCAATGCTCAGTTTCCATGGCAACCATCCTCAGCCCCCTGTTTCTGTGTTCAGTCTGCCTGGCATTCATCACCAGCCCCCTGTTGCTATGCTCGGTTTCCATGGCAACCATCAACACCCCGCAGTTGCTATGGTCAGTTTCCATGGCAGCCATCCCCAGACCCATGTTGCAATGCTCAGTTTCCATGGCAACCATCCTCAGCCCCCTGTTTCTGTGTTCAGTCTGCCTGGCATTCATCACCAGCCCCCTGTTGCTATGCTCGGTTTCCATGGCAACCATCAACACCCCGCAGTTGCTATGGTCAGTTTCCATGGCAGCCATCCCCTGTCAGTTTCCATGGCAACCATCAACACCCCGCAGTTGCTACGGTCTGTTTCCATGGCAGCCATCCCCAGCCCCCTGTTGCTATGGTGACATTCCATGGCAATCATCACCAGCCCTCCGTTGCTATAGTGAGTTTCCATGGCAGCCATCCCCAGCCCCTTGTTTCTATGGTCGGTTTCCATGCCAAGCATCCCCAGCCCCCTGTTGCAATTTACACTTTTCATCGCAACCATCACCGGCCCCCTGTTGCTATGGTCAGTTTCCATGGCAGCCATATCCACCCCCTGTTCATATGGTCAGTTTCCATGACAACTCTCACCAGCCCCCTGTTGCTATGGTCAGTTTCTATGGCAGCCATCCCCCGCCCCCTGCTGCTATGGTCAGTTTCTATGGCAGCCATCCCCCGCCCCCTGCTGCTATGGTGAGTTTCCATGGCAGATATCCCCAGCCCCCGCTGATATGGTCTGTTTCTATGGCAGCCATCCCCCGCCCCCTGCTGCTATGGTGAGTTTCCATGGCAGATATCCCCAGCCCCCGCTGATATGGTCTGTTTCTATGGCAGCCATCCCCCGCCCCCTGCTGCTATGGTGAGTTTCCATGGCAGATATCCCCAGCCCCCGCTGATATGGTCTGTTTCTATGGCAGCCATCCCCCGCCCCCTGCTGCTATGGTCAGTTTTCCTGGCAACCATCTGCCGCCCCCCGTTGCTATGGTGAGTTTCCATGGCAGATATCCCCAGCCCCCGTTGATATGGTCTGTTTCTATGGCAGCCATCCCCAGCCCCCTGTTGCTATGGTCAGTTTCCATGACATCCATTAACACTCCCCAGTTGCTATGATCAATTTCCATGGCAACCACCACCAGCCCCCTCTTTCTGTGGTCAGTTTCCATGGCAATCATCACCAGACCCTAGTCGATATGATCGTTTTCCATGGCAACCATCACCAGCCTCCCGTTGCTATGGTCAGTTTCCATAGTAACCATCACCAGCCCCCTGTTGCTATGGTCAGTTTCCATGGCAGCCATCCCTAGGCCCCTGTTGTTATGGTCAGTTTGCATGGCCGCCATCACCAGCCCCCTGTTGCTGTGGTCGGTATTCATGGTAACGATCCCCAAACCCCTGATGCTATGGTTAGTTTCCATGGCAGACATCCCCAGCGCCCTCTTGCTATGTTCAATTTCCGTGGCAAGCATCCCCATCCCCCTCTTGCTGTCGTGAGTTTCCATGGCAACCATCCCCAGCCCCTTGTTGCTATGGTCAGTTTCCATAGCAGCCATCCGCAGCCCACTGCTCCTATGGTCAGTTTCCATAGCAGCCATCCGCAGCCCACTGCTCCTATGGTCAGTTTCCATAGCAGCCATCCGCAGCCCACTGCTCCTATGGTCAGTTTCCATAGCAGCCATCCGCAGCCCACTGCTCCTATGGTCAGTTTCCATAGCAGCCATCCGCAGCCCACTGCTCCTATGGTCAGTTTCCATAGCAGCCATCCGCAGCCCACTGCTCCTATGGTCAGTTTCCATAGCAGCCATCCGCAGCCCACTGCTCCTATGGTCAGTTTCCATAGCAGCCATCCGCAGCCCACTGCTCCTATGGTCAGTTTCCATAGCAGCCATCCGCAGCCCACTGCTCCTATGGTCAGTTTCCATAGCAGCCATCCGCAGCCCACTGCTCCTATGGTCAGTTTCCATAGCAGCCATCCGCAGCCCACTGCTCCTATGGTCAGTTTCCATAGCAGCCATCCGCAGCCCACTGCTCCTATGGTCAGTTTCCATAGTAACCATCACCAGCCCCCTGTTACTATGGTCAGTTTCTATGGCAACCATCCCCAGCCCCCTGTTGCTGTGGTCGGTATTCATGGTAACGATCCCCAAACCCCTTATGCTATGGATAGTTTCCATGGCAGACATCCCCAGCGCCCTCTTGCTATGTTGAATTTCCGTGGCAAGCATCCCCATCCCCCTCTTGCTGTCGTGAGTTTCCATGGCAACCATCCCCCGCCCCCTGTTGCTATGGGCAGTCCCCTGGCAGCTCCATGCACACCCCATTCCAGGCGTGGTTGCCATGGACACCAGCTCAAGCCTGCATTCAGAGCCCTTTTCCTTGGGAACCATTGGCACTCCCATCCCCAGGGTCACGGGATCCCAGATCCACAGAATTGGCTGAGCTGGGAGGGACCCATCAGGATCCTGGAGTCCAACTGCTGGCCCTGCACAGGACACCCCAACAATGCCAGCCTGGGCCTGGCAGCGCTGGCCAAACGCTGCTGGAGCTCAGAGAGCCCTGGAGCTGGGAGCCTTCCCTGGGGAGCCTGGGCACTGCCCCAGCAGCCTCTGGGAAAAAACCTTTTCCTGAGATCCAACCTCAGCCTGCCCCGACTCAGCTGCAGCCGTTCCCTCCAGTCCTGTCCCTGGGCACCAGAGGGAAGAGGTTCCCACAGCCCCAGCCAGGGACCCGCTCCCAAGGCTGCTGCCATGTCCACCAGGGCTGGGACCATCTGGGATGCTCGGTTTCCATGGGCTGGAGTTTAGGAATGGGATTCCGCAATTTCCTCCTCCCGCTGAAACCACTCTGCCGCTCGCTGCCCTCATACCTTCCATCCTCCCAATCCTATGGAGCCCATGGAAGGCACAAAAGGCAAAGACGCCGGGCTGAGATAAGAACAATTTATTGGGAACAGAAACGGGATAAAGAACAAACAGGTATAGAAATAATACTGGTAACAGAAAAGAAAAACTATTTACAGGGAAAACCAAAACACAACTCACTGGGTCATCCTGGCCACATATTTCCTCCTGCCTGGGAAGGACATCCTTCTCCTCAGGGAGAGAGAGAGAGAATCCCCTTCCCACCCCAGGCAATGACCTGAAGTGGGACTGAATGTAATGACATGGCCATGGCCAGACCCTCATGTTCATCAATCCCACATGGTGTCATTGGCAGGGGCAGGAAGAGGGACAGGTGCCTTCCCAGCATGGATTACAGGTAAAATATATCACAAGGGCTCTTCCCAGCACGTATCCTCCTGGGGGGGGATGAAGCTGGAGCAGTGCATGAAGCTCTTCCTGCAGTTGGGGCATTTTCAGGGCTTCCCTTAGCGGTGCCTCTGTTGGTGTCTGGTCAAGGAAGAGCTCTGGGTAAAGCTCTTCCCACACTGGGGACACTTGTAGGGCCTCTCCCCAGTGTGGATGCTCTGGTGCCTGACGAGGGTGGAGTTTTGTTTGAAACCCTTCCCGCAGTCAGGGCAGCGGAAGGGCCTCTCATCAGTGTGAATCTGCTGGGGGCGGAGGAGAGTGGAGCTGGTGCGAAAACTCATCTGACACTGGGGGACACTCGTAGGGCCTCTCCCCAGTGTGGATCATTTCGTGGATGATCAGTTGGGACCTCTGACTGAAGCTCTTCTCACATTCCCCACATTTGTATGGTCTTTCCCCAGTGTGGATCCTCTGGTGGCAGATCAGCCTGGAGCTCTGGCTGAAGCTCATCTCAGAATTCCCACACTCGTAGGGCCTCTCCCCAGTGTGGATGCGTTGGTGCCTGACAAGGAGGGAGCTGCAGCTGAAGCCCCTCCCACACTCCGCACACTCATAGGCCCATTCCCCGGTGTGGATCATCTGGTGGTGGATCAGGTGGGAGCTCTGACTGAAGCTCTTCCCACACTCTAAGCATTCATACCGCCTTTCCCTGTCATGAAGCTGCTCATGGACCACCAGCTCCGAGCTCTGGCTGAAGCTCTGTCCACCTTCCTGGCACGGGGTCTGTCTTTCCTCTGCAGAGCACTCTGGATTGGGTTTGTAGCCCCTCCTCCTGTGGGACCTCTCTGCTTTTTCCTCACCTTTGGATTACTGTGCGATGGAGCCACTCAAAACGGCCTTTTCCATGAGGTTCTGCCGTGGGAATTTGTCCTCCCTGCTCTCCATCTTCAGCTTCTTGTCTGGGGGAGGAAGGACAAGAAGAGGATGGGATTTGCTTCTGTGACACAGGGAAGGGGAAGGAGTTGCCCCCAGTGCATCCCCAGAAGGACAGTGTTGGCAGCGGTTTTATTCTGCAGCTGGGGGCCATGCTGGGCTGGGAGATGGAGCAGGAGAGAGGGGGTAAAGGGGCAGTGACTTCCTCCTCACCTGCCTGTGTGTCCTGGCACATCTTCGTCTTCCTCACAGCCTCGTCCTCCATCTGGCCAAGGTTTGGGGATGGGAAATTCTGTTTTAGGAGGAAAACAAGGGATGAGAACGTTAAGTTTTGCACTGGTTTGAAGGTGAACAGGGGGAGAGTCTAAGCCAGAATTACAATTTAACAAGAAAATTAAGATCAAGGCAATGATACAGAAACACTGCCTTAAACTGACACAGTCAGGATATAACCTGGCACCCTGTTGGTCAGGGTGGTGGTAGCAGTCCCATTAAGTTGTGGCTGCACTCCTGTTGCAGTGATTATCGTGATTCTGTCAAAGCAGTGATCCTGTAGAAGGGTCTGGTCTTCCTCTAAAGGTCCAGTGGTGCTTATGGAGCTCTTGTCCTCTGGGAATTCAGTAGACAAGGTGCTCCTGGTGCTGCAAGCCTCAGCTTATATCCAGGTAGGAATGCGTGGCTCCTCCCCCTGGGTGGAGCATCCCACAATGGCATGATGTCATTTTATCAGTCCTGCAGGGACACTCAATGGCCATTAACAGAAGATAGCCCCTGGAGGGCGTTATCAGGGCTGAGTCATGGAAGAGATAAAGAACACTGCCCCGCCTGTTTATAACAGTTTGTGAAGATGGTGATGGAAAACATGCATTTGGTTACATCTTACACTGCAACCTGAAACAGTGGGGTAATCCCTGCTCGGGGGGGTGAACACCACCCCCATTACCCAAACTGGCTCAGGTGTCAAACTCCCACTCCGGGAACGCCACACACAGAGGGGACAATGTCACACTTGCCCTGCCCCAGGGGAGATCTCTGTCCCTGCCTTGCACTACCCCTTTTCTCTTTCTTTCCATCTCTATCTCACATTTCCTGTTCAATAAAATCCACTTTGGATTTTGTCTCATTAGCACCTTAATTGGGGCAGAAGCATCTCTCTGACAATTTTCTTAACCAGATTGCAACATTATTTGGGCACAGTGAGTTTAGGCACTGTTCTTTGCCCCCAAGTGACTTTGACAACAGCATGGTTCCCTCCTCTGAGGAGGTTGTGGTTCTCTCTGGAGGAACTCCTGGAAATTTGGATGCAGCTTCATCTGAGCAACTTATGGGAGAACTGATGAGGAAAAAGGCTGTTGTGGGTGGCCAGTGTAAAGAAAATATTTTGTTGTCCTTCCTTGAAAAGTTTGTTTAAAACACTGGAGGAAAGGGAGCAAATGATACCAGAGAGGCTGACAAGGTTCATTCACCTCACAGTGAGCAACATAAGGCTGCTAAAAGTCTCACAAGAAGCCCAGCTCAAGGAGCTAAATTCCTGAATAAATGCCAAATTCACAGGCTTAGGGGCTTTGCCAAATGTGAGAATCATTATTCTCTTTGTCCCTGTCACCCTTGTGACAGCCCCACAATGCTTTCTCTTGCTTTTAATAATCTGTATTGGGCCGAATTTCCACTTTTCTTTTATGGGAACCTGCCAGCAGCTGAGCTGGAGCTGTGCAGCAACCAATGAAACTTGGAATTGCCATGTCATTGCTTCTGTTATTGGTTTATTCATGTATTGGATTTGTTTGCATTTTCATATACATGTGACTTGTGGTAAAATAAAATATTCATCAAAGTGATTAATGCAGAGTTAAATTTGATTTCTGCCAAGTTTAAATGAGTTCTGCACCTTTAAGGCTGATTCTGAGAGCGAAGGGAGGGAGGAAGAAGCGAGCAGCTTGTTTTAGAAACTGCACTCACTCCTCAACATTCCGGCTCCTGGACAGACAGATGGGGGGATGGGCCTCTCCTTTGTTTTTAGTTAGTTTTTAGCTCTCAAGTTCCTATTGTCAGATTCCATGGCAACCATCCTCAGCCCCCCGTTACTATGGTCAGTTTCCATGGTAACCATCCGCAGCCCACTGCTGCTATGGTGGGTTTCCATAGCAACCATCCCCTGCCCCGGGATGCCATGGGTATTTTTTATGCCAACCAGCCCCAGCCCCTTGTTGCTGTGGTCTGTTTCCATGGCAACCATCCCCAGCCCCCTCAAGCTATGGTCGGTTTCCATGGCTACCATCACCAGCCCCCTGTTCCTATGGTCAGTTTTCATGGTAACCATCCAGAGCCCCCCGTTACTATGGTCAGTTTCCATGCCAAACATCACCAGCCCCCTGTTGCTATGGTCGGTTTTCATGGTAACCATCACCAGCCCCCTGTTGCTATGGTCAGTTTCTATGGCAACCATGCCCAGCCCCCTGTTGCTCTGGTCAGTTTCCATGGCAACCACCAACACCCCCCAGTTGCGATGATCAATTTCCATGGCCACAACCCCCAGCTCACTCTTGCTGTGGTCAGTTTCCATGGCAACCATCCCCACCCCTAGTTGCTATGGTCAGATTCCATGGCAACCATCCTCAGCCCCCCGTTACCATGGTCAGTTTCCATGGTAACTATCCCCAGCCAAGTTTATTTTCTGCCAAGTTTATTTTGCCCAGTGCCCAGGGGATGCTCAAGGGGTTTCTGTGCCTTTTGCCCTGGGGGATGCTTGGGAGGGGCTTGTGGGGATTGTCCCTGTCCCTATCACCCCAGGCCATTCCCCAGGGGGTCTCCATCACTCTCAGCCCAGGGAATGCCTGGGGCGTCTCCCTCCCTCTCACCCTCTGGCATGGGATGCTTGGGACAGTCTCTGTCCCTCTCAGCCCAGGGGATGCTCAGGGGTCTCTGTCCCCTTGCCCTGGGGGATGCTCGGGGGGTCTCCATCCCTCTGGCCTCAGGGAATGCCTGTGCAGGGCTGGGGACCAGGGGCTCTGTGTCCCTCTCACTGCTGAGGGTGCTCGGGGCTGGGGGGGCTCTCCGATCTTCCCATCCCTGGGGAGGCCAGGGGGGTCTCTGGCCCTCTCAGCCCTGGTGTGACCCTGCCCAAACATCATTGGGGTCAGAGAGACAGACACACCCCAAACCCCCATAAGAGCTGAACCTCGGATCATGCTCGTACCCCCATTTGTCTGTTTAGCACAGAAATGAGTTCTGTACCTTAAGGCTGGTTCTGAGAGCAAAGGGAGAGAGGAAGAAGCTAGCAGTTTGTTTTAGAAACTGCACTCACTCCTCAACATTCCGGCTCCTGGACAGACAGATGGGGGGATGGGCCTCTCCTTTGTTTTTAGTTAGTTTTTAGCTCTCAGAGGCAGATAAGTTTCCTGGACTGTGATCTTTCTTTTTCTTTGGAGCTGTTTAAACCTGCCCTGGATTGAACATCCAAAAGGGCACCGATAGCTTGTAACTGTGGCTCATTGGACTGAGCCTGGTTCACGGCATTTCCAGTGCTGGAGGAACTGATAAGAGACTGAGTGAGCCGAGCTACAGCCCACGGAGGGACTTGCTGAGTTTGTCATCTCTTTTGGAGCAGCAAGAGGTTTTATTTTTTAATATTGTTCAATTCTTGCTGGCTGGTGACTACTTTGCTTGTTAAATAACCAGGTTTTTCCACTTTTCTCCAAGGAGATATTTTCCAGGTCTGGCTGGGGGAGGAGCCACTTGAATTTGCTTTCTAGAGGAAACCCCTTTTGGAGGTTTTCTCCCAAATTTGCCCTAAACCAGCAGAGGGCAGTGGGGAGAGGAGAGAGCCCCAAGTAACTGGATTGGGTGGAGATTGCAGACGGGGACCCTGGGACCCCAAAACCCCCCAGCATCCCTAAGCAGGACCCTGGAGAAGTGGGATCCCCAGGTGCTCTGGGATCCTTGGCAGCCATGAGAGAGGGGACCACCAGAACCCCAGAGGGATGAGAATGGTAATGAGATGCTCCTGGTGGCTTTTTTTGATTAACGTTTGCTTTTTGAAGGTTTTTATGGATATCAGGTGACTTCTAGAGATGGACTTGGGTAGAAGACCTTCAGACTAACTGTGCTCATCCCTTGTTTTTCCCCAAACCAGGATTTCCCATTACCAAAGCTTGGCCCAATGGAGGAGAAGGCTGCAGGGAAGAGAAAGATGCCCTGAGACACCCAGGCAGGTGAGGAGGAAGTCAGTGCCCCTTTCCCCCTCTCTCCTGCTCCATCTCCCAGCCCAGCATGGCCCCTGGCTGCAGGACAACCCCTCTGCCAATGCCGTCCTGCTGGGGATACACTGGGGGATCTCCTGCCCCTTCCCTCTGGCACGGAGGCACATTCACAGGCTCTGGGGCAGGAGGGGGAACCGCGGGCGGTTTGGGGTGCGTGGCTCGGCTGCTCCCGGTGCGGTTCCCCCGAGCCCCGGTGCGGCTCCGCCAGGCCCCCCCACCACGGCACTGGCCGGAGGTTCTTTAATAGAAATGCTGGTAAATTGACCATCTGGAATGACACTAAATACGATTTCCAGAAGCTGCTGGATTGCTGGGCAGTTTGCCGAATTCCACATTGTTGTTTCTTTCAGTAAAACTGCACTTTAAAAAGTCTTAGCAAATATATGCTTGCATAAAATTTGTGGCTACCATGGCCTTCTGTCAAAACTAAATTACATTAAAAAATTACAGACTTATTCCATTCTTTTAATCCCTCCAGTAAATCTCTCATGCTGTTATTTCAGTCATGGATTGTTCAACTTTTCAGTGCCTTTTTTCCATTAATAGCATCAGAATAAGTTAAATTTTGTTGTATGAATAACTTTTAAGGATATTAATTTTTAATTCTGTGATGTTTAATTTAATGCAAATTCAGGGTTGATAAGATTAAGCAAAGTTAAACTTCATTATTGTTAGATTTGAGCAATGTTTAAGTTACATTCTATTAATTTGAAATCCTGTTGTTCTGGATTGAAAGATAATGTGTGTATTCTATTTGCCATCTGTCACAGGTAGGGTAGTTATCTTCTGTTAATCGGGCTGTAAATTGGACCCCCAATGGCTCCCACAGATCCCCAAACACCCGTAAGGACCTCCAAGCTTTCTAAACTCCCTATTGTGAGAGGAGCCTTGGAGCAGCTGTTTCCAATCCCAGTCCCAGACTTTCAAGATTTTGTATGTAAAGAATTATAAAGGTGGAATGAAACCTTTATAGAATTTGTCTCACAGGATTAAAGATGGCAAACCA